AAAAAAAATAATTATATTTTCATTTTCTCATCATTCTTTATACAAAACTAATTAATAGTTTCAATAACTGCTTAAATTGATCAAGAGAGCGAAAGACATTGAACCTCTTAATGGGTCATTTTAAATTTTCATCAACGAGGTCAACGTCTCGTCTTTTCTCGTAGTTTTATTCGTTTTATTTAAACATGTCCTTTTGATTGGTCTTTTATAAAATGCATTGAAGCATAACGGTGATAGTGAATAAGTGAGAATAAAACAACACTTTTCACTATCAATTCTCATTAATACAAACGTATAACTCAAGTAAAAAAAAAGAAATGTCCTATCGTTTTGCCTATCCAAATGGAGGAGCTACACTTGGCTATAGTATGGATCCAACATTAATGTCAGCTGGTTATCCAAGTGCTTATGATGATCATCAAAGATCATATTCACCAGAATCATTTTCATCGGAAAGTGAAAGTGACGATAGTTATGAATATCGAGGTCGAATGATTACACGTGATAGTAGATGTTCACGTGATGTTGTTCGTGCTAGAACACCACCTCCGATTATTAAACGAGTAGTTGAACGAGCTCCAACACCTGAAGCACTTGTCATGGAACGAGTATGTATAAAATAATAAGAAGCAAAAAATAAAAACTAATTATTCTATTTCGTATTATAGGTTATTATTCGACCACAGCCTCAGGAAATTGTTGAACGTGTTATTGAACAACCACGTACACCACCACCACGTATTATTCAAAAAGAAATGCATGAAGAAGCACCACCACCAATTGTTCGAACACGGTATATTTTCTAACACGTTTTTACTTTGTTTTTTTATCCTTAATGATTTTTCTTCATTAGAGTTATTAAAGTCGATCGACCCGTTCGTAGTGGTTATAGTCAACCAGGTTCACCATACGGTAATCCATGTAATGCATTACCATCATTCTCAAATGGTATGATTGCTGGTGGTGGTGGTTATCGTTCTCAATCAATTGCTGGTTCTGTTGGACGACCATCTTTAGGACATGGTGGTCTTGATCCTAATACAAGTTTTTCATCGGAATCAAGTTTTGAATATATCCCACAAACATCTATGACACCTGGTATGCCACCACCATCATCCGCAGCAATGATGATGTTACCTGCATCATCACAACAACAGCAACAATCAATGGGTCTTATGCAACAACAGCAACCAGTACAACAACAACTTATGTATCGACCTGTTCAAATGCAATCAGCAATTCCACCAATACCTTCATCATATATGCCTCAAAATTACATGTATCCTATGCCTCGTCCAGGAATGTCATTTGGTTATCATCCAATGATGCAACACGGTCGAATGATTCCAAGTGGTATGCCAATGATCGCTTCTGGTAATTCACTTGGTCCACCAACAAGTAATTTTTCTAATCAATTATCTTTATTTAATCCAATGGCTCAACAAATGGTTTATTAATTATTTTACATTAAACTATTTAGTCAGATAAAAATGACGATATGTGTTTCTTTTTGCCTTTTTTTTTGTGTTTCATTATTCTTATTCGTTTTATAGTAGAAAAAAAAATATTCAAGTTCAAAATTAGATTAAATGTATACAATTATCATTGTTAATCAGAATTTCAGAAAATAGTTGACGATTTTTAATCTTCTAGAAAGTTAAATCAGATATATATATTCCTCTTAGAAAAGAGAGATATAATCAAGGTCAAAACTAACATAGATGAATTTTCTAAACAAAGATATCAAAGAACAGTGTTACTTCTTTATAGTCAAGATAATTTCATTTATCGAAGCAGAAATGTCGAATAAATAGAGAGAGAAAAGAAAAACAATATAACGTCAGATATACATACGAATGACGGACGAATCTAACCGGGCTGTTTGTTTTAAAATGAATAATTTCTTTAAATCTATGTATATTCAGTAAAATGAAAGAAGAATTATTATGACCTATTTTTTCAATATATATTCCTAACTGTTAATCGAATAAGCAAAATTTTTATACACTGAAAATTAGAAATAATGTAATAAAACTAAGGAATTTTTTTCTATTCATTATATTTCATGTCACGTATACTATTGCTGTTAGCATTATAGATAAATTCTAAAGATAAAGAAATGTTTTACAGCAAGAATTCAAAGTTCAAAATAGATTTTTTTTGCTTTTTGCCTATTCAAATATTCAAGTCAATCGTATGATCTGATAAAATTTGTTTGTTATACACGCATCGTTGACTCGTTCACCGTTGACGAAGAAAGATAGATCGAGTATATATCATATATGACGAATTAAATTATATTAATGAATATATAGCGCCATCTATCGGTACTATTTAAAAGTAAAATAAATTTAAAAATGAAATCTTTTCACTTAATTTAAAAATCTTATCGTTAAAATTTATAATGAAAATAATTAATTTTTTTATTTCTTTTATCTCTTGCGCATTAAAGCATTCAAGATGAGTGAATTGTTCAACGAGACAATATGGTCGTTAGTCGACAACTAAGATTCTTTGTTTATTCGTTTTTCTCTTTATACATACAAACACTCGTCTGATCTGTCTCTTTAGTATAAGATTATCATATTATCATAAACTATGCCGGCTTCACGCGATGATGATGTATATCAAGCTAAATTGGCTGAACAAGCTGAACGATATGAAGGTAAATAATCAATTTAATTATCATTAACTATGATTATTTGTTTATTGTTTTTTTTCTTAAATTTTAGAAATGGTTGAATCCATGAAAAAAGTAGCAAAAATGGATCAAGAATTAACGGTTGAAGAACGTAATTTACTTTCAGTTGCGTATAAAAATTTAATTGGCGCACGACGAGCATCATGGCGTATAATTACTAATATCGAAAGTAAAGAAGAAAATAAATCGGAAAATAGTAAAATGGCTATGACAAAGAAATATCGTTCTCAAGTATGTGGCCTTTGTGTTTTTTTGCTTTTGTTGAAAAATTTTATTATCTATATTTTCTCATGATTTGTGTTTAGGTTGAAAAAGAATTACGTGATATTTGTCAAGATATTCTTGATTTACTTGATAAAAATCTTTTACCAAATGCTGCATCAGGTGAAAGTAAAGTATTTTACTTAAAAATGAAAGGTGATTATCATCGATATAAAGCTGAATTTGCTACACAAGAAGATCGTAAAGAAGCAGCTGAAAATTCACTTGTTGCATATACAAAAGCCAACGATATTGCACAAAATGAATTACCACCAACGCATCCAATCCGTCTTGGTTTAGCTTTGAATTTTTCGGTATTTTATTATGAAATTTTAAATACACCAGAACGAGCTTGCCGATTGGCTAAACAAGTAAAAAATTTATAATAGGTTTTTTTTTTGTTCTTATGATTAAATTTGATTTCTTAAGGCTTTTGACGATGCAATTGCTGAATTGGATACACTTAATGAAGATACATACAAAGGTTTGAATTATTTTTTGGAGATTTTTGGGTTTATTTCTATTAAAAATAATCTTTTCTTTTTATAGATTCAACATTGATTATGCAACTTTTACGTGACAACCTCACATTATGGACAACGGATATGCCTGGTGATAATGATAACGCACATAATGAAGTACAAGATGTTGATGATGAACAAAAGTGAACGAACGTTATGTTTAAAAAACACAAAAATTTTCTTTTTTTTTTCTCTTTTTTTTTCGTTTAAATGTAACACATTTCCTTTTCTTTTATTATAAACAGGAGAAAATATTCTTTCTTTGTGTGTATTCGGATGAGAATCTCTTTCTGTATTGTAAAACGATGAGTGTGAGAATGATGATTGATTAATTAATTAAACACAAAAAAAAAACGTTGATGACGAGTAGATATGACTAGTCAGGAAATCTTCTCGTCTAAAATTAATTTCCTTTTCTCGTTTTTTTCTTTTTCAAACACATACACATTCCTAAATTTTCTTTCAAATGACAAGTCTCTTATATACGGATTTTCTCCCTATCAACATCAACAACCTTTTTTTTTCTTTTCTCTTTTATTCATTCATTGTCTGCTATCTTGTATTCTATATATATAAATAAAAATAAACGTGTCGATGTTATCACTTGCCCTTTTTCAAACTATCATATCACATGTTCCATTTCTATTCAATAAAAACAAAAATAAAACTAATTATTATCTCAAGATTTATATATACATATAATTTTTCGATCTATATACACGGGCCAAACTGATTTATGATTATTCATAAGTCTATTAATAGAATCATACAGATGTAGTTACATATTTATTAAATGAAGTCTTATATCTATTTTGTATAAGCCTAAAAATGCATTTTTTTGTATTAAGAATTTGAAATTCATAATCATAATTAGATTTCAATGTTCGTTTAAATAAAAACCATCTTGTGTATTAATCATGATTAATATAAAATTCCATTATGATTATTTCTATATATTAAGAATAATAGATTCCGTAGAGTACTATTACTTCCTCATCAGTCCTAAAACAAACTCATTAATTATATATGGTTAACTTATTTTTCCCAAGGTTTTCCTCTTTTTATATCAATAATTTATTATTCCTCTATATAAACTCTGTCTTAAATAGAATGTAGTCATATAGTAATACTGATAATATTGATAAAATTCTTATTTTTAATTAAATGTAATTCATCGACAGATAAGTATTCAAATTTCCTTTTTTCTCCTATCTTTAAGGTTAATCAGGCATCGTTAATTTAAAAGACAATAGCTAATTTTTTATAGTTAGTTTCAAGTAAAGTATCTTCTTGAATATAATATCAAGCTCACTTTACTTATCAATAGAAGCTATTAACACACCATGTATCTATTGTATTAACTATAGCAGCCATTAGTATGACGTAATTTTTCTATTCTCTAATATAAGTACGGAAATTTTATAAAAGAATTAATCTTTTGATATGATCATCAATAATTTTGTCATCAGATAACGCCAATAAAGTTTGTCTTCGAAAAAATTAGTTGATCACGATATATTATAGATATATGAAAAATTTTCATACGTATTGACCTGTGAATGTTAGTCAAGTGAATCGATCATTATCTTTTTCTTTTGATATATATATATATATATTCAAACCATCTAGGCATGTATAATTTAAAACGACTGTTCTTTCTATTATCCATTACATTGTTTATAACATATCCTTGAGAAATGATTGTTATATCTTATTCACATTGTTCATTATATAAAACATTGTCCAACGATTCGAATAAACTATAGTTTTCTTAATCTAAAACGACATATTAATAATTGCAAAAAATATATATATATATAAAGAAAACAAAGAGGAAGCATCGATAGAAAGATGTTCATGGAAGCAAAAAGTGCAGTGAACATTGATATGAAAAAAAGTCTATACATTTTGTTGTCATTATTGTTTTTCAGTGACATTTTGTCTGGTTTGTACACGACTCCAGGCATCGATCTTGCGCTTGACTATTATCATCATAACCGACCTCCTGCTATTATTAACATCGGAAGCGCTCTATGTCTCAAATGTTAGACGATTACATATGTGTATGTATGAATGTATGTCGAAACAAGCGGTGTTATAAATAATTATAGCGATCATCATAGACGCATATATAGATCGATTAAAAATACATTGTCGAATCAATATAATAATAAAAACATTTAAATAATCGTTTGAAGTCTGCCTTGAGAAAATTGAATCAAGCGTGTGAAAAACAATTTATTGATTTAATGAATAGAGAAAAAGACACATATATATAAAGGTAAGTTTTATTGACGTGAAGATTTCTTTCGTAAGTAAATATTAGTTACTGAATGGCATGTGAAGAAAAATTCATCAAATGCTAACGACTTTGGAAATTAATCTATCTTCGGAAACATTGCATGCAATGTCGCGACGATGAGATATAACCCATTGACTGCAAACTTTAATGATCTAATAGCACGCTATGTCAGTTGTACTATTGTTATATACACTTTTTCAGATATTTGAGAAGGAAGAGGGAATGAGTGAGAGAGAGAGAGGGAGAAAGAGAAAAGAGCGTGCATATATGTACCACTCAAACATCAATGATTGAACAGGCAAATGAAAGAAAGAAGGAAGAACGGAAGAAGACGAAGGAGACTATGTTAAAAAGTCATCTTCCTTTATATGTCAGTCATTCTATTACGATACAGTAGTAATATTAATATACATATATTATAAACCAAGCAAGTGTATGTCTTAGTTATATTTACATTTTAATAGTATATGTGCTGCACGCAATCATCATTCTACGATTGATTGGATGATGTGACTAGAAAAGTAAGCTTATATTCAGCCAGAAGTCTTGAACATGTTGTTTTTTATTCTTTTGTTTCCAATAAAACTGTCGGAAGAAGGAGGTATTATAATAAAAGGTGGTGGTACATTGTTACTTTTTTCCTAGCGGATCAAATTAACAAGAACAGAAAGAGGTCAGATGAAGTGTAATAGTGAATAGGTTCGAACAGGTGAACTTGTTATATCATTTGTAATGTGTTCAGAAAGAGTGAAGGGTGATGAAGTATTTGTCTAATTTGAAATGATCGTTTTTCTCCTCTCAAGTGGTGACATTTAAGTGGAAAAAGGTGTAATTATATGTAAGTAATTAGATATTCAAATAGAATAATCAGCTGTTTTCTCGGGTTTTTCTTCTGCCTGTCAATCATTCTTTTTTATGTATAAATCTTATTTACAAGGTTACTAGTGACATTTTTGATGGTGCGGAAAGTTTTGATTTAATAAGATGTGTAGAATCCTTTTTTTCCTTTCTTTTATCAGAATATAATAGAGACTCTCGGGCATATATATATATTCATGTTATTTGTCACATTGAATCGTTTCAAAGTATTCTTAACTGTTATTATTATATTGAAATTCAGTGAGAGTATGCATGTATGTATGTAGTCCATCATTTGTTTATACATTGGCACACGTTATTCATATTTGCGTAGCCCTATAAAAGCTAAGAGACAGACACCATTTGTCTTGCCTACTTATAATTGAAAAGTTTCGATTTAATTCATTTTTCTCAATTGTTTATGAGTGAACCTTTCAATACTCTAAGAGTGAAAGTGAGTGGTCATTTAATGACATAGAGTAAATTGACATATACATAGAATGTATTGCTATTAAATGAAAACGAGGTCAAGCAGATGGTTAAGACGGAAATTGTCGTTATTATTTCGAGAAGAATAGAAAAAAAAGTGTCAAAAAAAGTATAATCATAACATCAAACGAAAGAGCAGATCTCTTGAGATTGATCATCAATACAGCTGTGGTCACGCTTCACGCCTATATACAAAATTGAGTTGAATATATACATATGCGTTTCCATTCAATTTTCTTCTATATAAGATGATGATGATGACGAGTAACTTACTATTCAAAAGGGAATCATCTTTATTTCCCTCTTCGCTCATTTCATTTGTTATGTTGATGATTCTGTGTTAATTATTGTACATATACATATTGTAATGACAACAAGATTGCTTTTTTAATCATGAGGTTGGATGAAATACCATCTCATTCACAATCATAAGCCTCATTTATATCATATATTAGAATAATAGAAAACAAAAAGACAGCTTTTCTTAAATTAGATTCACTAACAGTTTCTATCATTAGTATAAAAGCAAATAGATAAGTCTTTGAACATCCGACATACATCGTCAACATTGATTGGATTGTATTGATAAGAAGAAGTAGAAGAAGAAAAAAGAGAACAAGGCAATGCTGGTCAAGGTTAGTTAGCGCTTCTCTCTTTCTCCTCATTCTCCTTTCTTTCTTTTTTTTTCTTCGATTAGTATCATGGGGTTTTGTATACATGATGCAATTGAATACCATTGACAAGGTGTCGTCTTCCGGCTTTTTTAATTGTCGACATAGTATAATAACATCAATATTTCAGGCATATTAATAAAAATGTTTTCATCATCATCTTTCCTACTATTACATAAGGCTATTTGAATTAATTTATACTAGTATTGTATATGTATATAGACAATATAGAAGCATGCAGTGTTTGTAATTACTTTATTATAAGAGGGACGCGCATAGCGTTTCTATTGTTCAAATATATACAAAGACTTTTCCTTTTCTTTTTTTTGTTTTACTTTAATATATTTCAGATGATGTTTATCTTATTCATTTTCTTTCTTATCAATCATAGTCAATCATTAGAATGGAATTGTACGGAAAATCAATCTTTTCTTTTTTCGAATGATCAAACATATGAACAGTGTACAATTACAATTGAATATATATCATTACAACAACAAAAACAATTATGTATAACACATACATTATCAATAAAAAATCTTCCAATATTTTCCTATTCATCAAATTATACAATGAAAATTTGTAAAATAAATTCATGTCAATTATTAACATTAAATCAATTATCATTTTCATTACCATCATCCGTTGAAATACTTGATTTAAGTTATAATTTATTATCAACATTTACATTTTCATCCTATTCATTACCATCACAATTAAAATATTTATATCTTGATAATAATCCAACTTTAATTGATATTAATTTTAATCATGATTCTGAACAACATCAACAACTTGTTAGTCTTAGTCTTCGTCATAATAAAAATATGAAATTATCATTTTTACCATTAAATTTAATTCAACTTGATTTAACTGATTGCAATTTATTACAATCATCAATATTAATATTATTAAAATCGTTAACAAAATTAACACATTTATCTTTAGCGAATAATCGATTAAAACGATTGCCTATACTTGATAGAAGTATACAACTTGAATATCTTAATCTATCAAATAATTATTTGACTTCAATTGAAGATGATTGGTTATATAAATCATTACAAATTCTCGATCTTACATTTAATCAAATAGAATCTCTAGAATTTTTTAAAGGAAAATTAAAAATTAATCAAACATTACAACTATACAAACATGATAGGATAAATGTAAGTATTATTTTATTTTTCCGAGATTTTAAATTCTTCAATAATCACGCAATCAACACGTACTTCGATAATTATTCTAATTAGAAATTTAGTGTTACAAAAGGGATTTCAGAATTTCGCCAGTGTCATTGTACATGTGTGAAAATAGTTCGTAGTAACTATGATGTACTTATTGTAATAACATTAGGTCAATTTTTCACATGTATTCTATGCTAATCTTATGTTATGGCAGTTGGCGACAATCCACTGTGCTTACGTCTGAAATTTAGTTAATTGGCGAATGTCCATTATAATTTGGTCTATACATTCCCACTACTTTCACCAATGACGGATGTCCTATTGGCGAAGAGACAGTAAGCCAGACATGTTTCGGATATCCTGTGCTCATTTCTCAAACGAGATCACATTGTTCAGTTCACCCATACTAACTATTCTTTCTATCGAAGCAATCAATTTTTTAAACATTAAATCGTACTCAATTCAGAATGTAATGATGCAAAAAATAAATCAATAACTGTAAAATATACAGGGGCGTAGCCAGAAATTTGCCATGGGGAGTGCGCGCCAGCAGAAAAACGTTCACGCTATCAATAGTTTTGTTTAATTTCTATCCACCTTCAGGTATTTTTTTCTCCAAGAAGTGTGTCCGAGCACCCTTTGTATACCTCCTAGCTACGTTCCTAAATATATACAGTACATATAGTTGAGCAAGCGATGTTAGAATATTATGTTTGATGATAGACAAAGCGAGATAACAATATGATTTTAACAATTGAATTACTCAATTTTCGAACGGTTTCTTTTTTTTCCTAATACATTTTATTAATAAAAATCAGAGGCAACGTCTACTTGACTACACAAAATTTTTCTTTGTAGAAAATGGTTACTCATCCTCTTCAACTTTCTCTACATGGTAATCCTTTAATTTGTGATTGTTGGTTAGATTCTTTACTTAATTCATCATCAATTAATATTACTGATTTATCTTTACTTCAATGTAATTCTCATTCAATTCAAGATATTTCACCTAATGATCTTCAATGTTCATATACTCGATATTGTGCACCTGATTGTTCATGTTGTGATTTTGAAGCATGTGATTGTCATTCTGTATGTCCTTCTGAATGTTTATGTTCACATAATGCTTTCTGGTCACATCATCTTGTCAAATGTCAACAAGGAAATTTATCTGATATACATATATTTTTACCTGAAACAATAACTGAATTAAATTATGAAGGAAATAATATTGAACAAATAAAACCATTTGTATTTGCTGGTAAAAATTTATTAACAAAATTAAATTTAGCTAAAAATAATATACAATATTTTACTAATGAAACATTTTGTGCTGCATCAAATTTACGTGAAATCGATCTTAGTTATAATTCAAATTTAATGACAATACTTCCATATATAAATGAATTATTTGAATGTTTAAAAAATTTACAATATATTATTTTATCAAGCGAACAATTCAAGCCGGAAGATGCAATTAGTTATGGATGGATTGTTAGTTCAGACAAGAATTTAATTCGTATTAGACGAAAATCAGAACAATTATCTTCAGGTTTGTTTGAAACTGATTTTAAAATAAAATCAAGTTCAAGTAGATGTCAATCAATCTAAGAGACTTTTGTACTTATAGTATAATTTATCCGAGATATTTGTTGTGTTCAAGAAAGAAACTAATTCTAATTTTTGCTGAATAAAATGTCCTTGAAAATAATCGTCAGTCTTTCTTAATCAACCATAAATATGAATGCTTCTAGGGTTTTCATAGTCTGATTGACGTTGAGTTTGAACTGAAAGAAAAAATTAAAAAGCGTCAAAGCATTTTACTTGCTTTCTCCATCAGTATGATTACAATTCTTTTTATATATATAGTATGACCATGAGTTACGTCAATGATGTCAGAAATATTTATGACTTCGTAATAAAAAAAAAATAAGTATTTTAAATAGATTGAGGAAGTATGATTTTCTTTTATTAAATGTCTAATTTAATATTCTAATTTTTTCAGTATCACCATTGAATATAACACGCCGACGGTCTACGATTTCTTCAACATTTCATTCAGTAACTGAAACATCTCCAATTTTTTCGATATTTCATCATGAATCATTTACATCTTCGAATATTATTCATCATAATCAAACATTAATTGTCATTGTATTTTTTCTTCTCTTTTTCGTTTTACTCTTTTTATTATTACTTATATCATTGGCTATTTGTCGGAGAAAACTTCGTCATCATATAACAGCTGAACTTGAACGTCAACAATCACAACATTATTACTATCATACACATTTACATCAACCAATAACGAAAATTCCGGAAAGTATTCCAGTTAATGATAGTCTCTATGAACAATTACCATCGTTATCTTCTGATAGTGAACAACCATTTTTATATAATGAAAAAAAATTAACTAATATAAATGCTCCAGCTTTGCCTCCATATCCACCATCATTACGACATTATCATTGTTGTCATTCAACAACTCCGCATGACTATCTTTCAACAATACAATCTCATTCATCATCATCAAATTTAGAACAACAACAGCAATCACAATCGTGTCAAGCGGTTCTAATCTTGGGAAATCAATTGATCTATCCGAATCATCAAGAATGTTTATCTGATTTACAACAAAATTTATTATTAACTCAACAAGAAAATAATACAATGCATTATTGTAATAATGAAACAGTATTTGTACCTACAACTCTTTGCCGATGTAAGAGTCAGCTGAAGAATATTAACACATATACGTGTCCTAATGTTTATAGATAGAAATGTATATAGAAAAAATAAAATGATGCTTTTGTATTGATATGTCACAAATAGAATAATACACGTGTTTGTACAGAATGAACAATAGATTTGAATGATCTTCAAACCAGATAATACTATACTGGTTTAGCATATTTTTCTGTCCATTGTCGAGCTGTTTCAGGATCTTTATCCGGTACTATTTGTTCCCCGTAATATTTATTATAATCCGGTTGTTGTAATAATGAATAGATTTTAGAAAGTATTGTAGAAATTGATATTTGTGGTTTCCATGATGAAATAAGTTCATCGTGACAAGCATGTCCTGTTTCAGTGTCTACATTTGGATGACAAATACGTGTCAGAAAAAAGAATGCAAATGGTTTAAATGGATATTCTAATGGAAATTTGATTCGAAATGCAAATTGACCATTTTCATATGAACTATGATCTGGACCAATTAGTATTCCATGTAACTGATTAAAACCGTCTTTATCAACTGAATATTGAAGATTTTGTATGAAAGATAATGGATTTTTATAATAAGAATCTAAATCTTTTAATAAACATCTTGTTTGTGCATTTGGTGTCGAGGAAGAAGTATCTATTGACATCTTCTAGTTTTTTTAACTAAAAGTAAAGAAATAAAAGCTTATTTATTCATGTCTAGCAATAATATTGATAAATATTTCCTATAAATAAGTACAATTATTAATATGTTTTCGCAGTACTAGTATAAAATATTTTATATTTAAAAAGAATGCTGCCTGTAGGTATTACTTAGCAATAACATACCTATGCACTATAATTTGTATAGAAAGAAGGTCGCTGTTAAGCGATAGTCATCTAAATTTATTTCGTAATGACAGAAAGGAGAAAAAAAACATGCATGTGCGTGAATAATAATGCTTAAAACCATAACAATAGTGTGAACAGATAAAATTTATTTCTATTAATATTACAAATCAATAAAAAATGACTGCTGCAACTGCTACTAAATCAGGACCTATTGGTATGTAAATAAAGAACTGACAGAACATTTTTTATTTATTCGAATCTTCGTTTTCAGAAAATAAGACGACACACTTTCGCACTCAGATGGTAAATGGAAAACCACAAATTTATTTTGAAGATATTCTTGGTATATTGATTTGTCATTTATATTTCTCATTGAATGAAAAAATTATTTTTTTAGACGAATCTTCAGTACAACCACAAGTTAAACAAAAACGTAATAGTCGTATGATAAATACAACTCGTCTTCCACCAGAACAACCCAAATCTAAACCAACTAGTCAGAAACCTGTTCCACAAAATATACCTAATAAACAACCTAAAAAGACAAATAAAGTAATTGTTAATCAAAATGATTCATCAGTTGGTGTATTTATGACAATGGAAGAAATAGCAGAACTTGTTAAAGCAGTTAAAGATGCACCAAAAGGTCAGAATAATTCATCTACAGAAAACAATGGTACTTTCTGAAATAATCGAAATATACTAATAATATTTTCATGTATCATATAGAAGTTCCAGAACCACCACCACCGCCACAGCAACAACAACCACAGTACAACTATATTCCACCTCCGGCTGTAATACCTCAACTAGATTTACCTCAACAAACACTACCACCTCCACTATTGTTAGGCCCAACTTCTCCACGAGAAGAAGCATTAGGTATGATGGCTGACAAGAAACGTAGGAAATGGATGCGAGAAAAAGGTAAGACAATACTATAAAGTTATTTCACAATCGTTATTTATTTTTTTTTATAGCGGAAATGGATCGAATGAGACTTGAAGTTGAATATGATCAACTTAAACATCAATTAACTCCTGTAAATCAAAAATCTTCATTATCTCCTGGTATAAATCAAACAATTATCTCTACTAATCTTTCTTTTTTTCTGTCTAATTTAGAACGCACAGTATATCCATCTGATTTCTCATCAATGAATAAACCTTCAGGAAAACAAAATGATAATCCACAAAATGATTTCTTTAAAACAGGTTTAATGGAAAAGAAACAACAACAATGGAGACAAGAAAATGGTAAATTTTAAATTTATTAAAAAGCGTATTTTCTACCTAAAAATACAAACGATGATTAAAATCTCTATTGTAATCATAGTCATCGGTTCTCCTGAAAAATATATTTGATATAAATCATCATATTTTTTATATTATTATTTTTAGCTGAAAAAGCTCCAACTTGGGATCCATTTGGACGTCCTGGTGCCGGTGCACCTAATATAAATGCAATTGAACCACCAATCTCTGTTTGTTTTTTTTGTGTCATTTTTTCGAATAATATATATATTTTATATTGTATATTTAGCAACCATCATCTAATAATATGGTTATGCCATATCGACAACCTGATCCATCTTTAGTAACATCAAATATTATTATTAATGATCAAACACATGTACCAGCTGCAATGCGTACGAATTTATTACTTGGTAATGTTCGTTTTGAAGATGATGTTAAAATAGCTAAAGAAATGGAGCGACGACAATGGTTAGATGATTTACAAAGACAAATTGAAGACAATAAACGTAAAAAATTTACTCAACAAGAAACTGAACGTCGACAAGATTTTCTACATGAAAATGTTAAACCCCTTGTACAAGAAGCTTCTAATCGACATCAACAACAACAACAGCAACAACAGCCACAGCAACAACAACAACAGCAACCACCACAGCAGCAACAACAACAACAACAACAAAAAGCTCCATCACCCACACCATCTTCTAATCCAATACCAGCAAATAATAGTGGACACGATACAAGTAAAATTCGTCAACGTGAATCATTAGTACAACAAACTTATGATAAAATTCTTGAAGCAACTGAATTAGCTAAATATGAAAAAAAACAACAATTAATTGAGAAACTTAAACGAAATGGTCATAAAACAGATTTATTAGCAAAGACATTACCAGGTTATATTAAACTTTATATGAGTCTTTTTATCTAATAAACATTTATTTTCTAGATGTAAAAACACCTATTCCAGATCCGCCTCCAAAGATACCTGAAAAGAATTATGATTCATCTCCGAAAAAGACTAATGAGTTTTCTCCAAAAAAAACTACTGTAACAAAAATTGAACCTATACATTTAAATACTGTTATTGAACAACAACCATCCTATCGAACTAACGATACACGACGAGATGAAGCTGTTAATACAATTGATTCAACATTTCGAAGGTAAATTTCTTTCTATTATTTAAAGAGAATAATATATGTTTTTTTTGAAAAAATCTAGTGATAATGGTGTTCAAACTGATCTTCGAATGGTATCGCATCATCAAATGTTTAACTATACTCGTGAAGAATCGGATTTACCTCCTCAAGTACCAAATCATCTATTACATGAGGGAAAACAAAATAAAAAAAATGTTCGTATACGTTCACATGAAGATGATCAACGTCAACGACAATCAAATAATAATTCTCATAATAATAATACAACACCTCAAGCTAATACTCAACGAAATCATTATGGTCCACATGATCTTCTTCATCGACCATTATGGAATTATCAAAATGGTGCACATCGTCAATATGTACCAAATTCTAAACGAGATTCAAATTCTGATAAACGTCAAAAACCAAATGAACGAACAACTTATAATCGTTGGAATAGTGATAGTGAATTACAACATGAACGAAAAGAAAAAAAACCAGTAACAACTAATCAACCACGTTCAAATGTTTCAAGACAAAATCAACCTCAACATGTAAATTTACCCAAAGGACAACCAAAAGAAAAAACATTTGTGTTTTCAAAAAATAATGATGATGAATCAAATTTTAATAATATACCATCATTAGATAAATATGAACATTTTATACCATACACAAGAACGGATGAAATACTTGATCCAGCTAGAGCTTTCTCACCGCTACCACAATCGAGAGAACCATCAGCTCGTAATATACAACCAGCAAAGGTATGTGTATATATATATGAAAAGAGAATTTTTACTATATAAATAAACTGTAATTGTAGACGAATCCATATGATGATCATCATAGACGGCCTAATGTTAATGTTCAAGCTCCACCTTATCATGTACCTCCAGCGCAACAACAGCATATTCTTCAACAATTAACAGCTATTAAAGAAGTTCGTAAAAGTTGTTGTTAATTTAATAGTAATTATTAATTTTATTTTTGTTTAATTCTAGAATTTAGTTCGTCGACAACAAGAAGTTGCGACATCAATGAATGCTATTCCAGTTTAATTAATAAAAATATTTGTACCGCCGAGCGGCTTTTAATCAAAATAATAATTGTTTTGTTCATTGTGCGCTTTATGTTTGTGTAATTTTCAATCTATTTGAATAAATGAGTAAGAATCTTTGACTTTTATCAGATGTTTTACATATGAAAGAAACAAATACAATCAATCTTTTATTTAAGTTTTTAATCGAAAAAAAATATTAAGAGTGATAATCTGTACGTGATAACCTAAGACTGTTTTGTGTCATTAGCGTTGTCGCAATTGTTTCTTTTCCTTTCTTTTTTTGAATACGCGCCTTATACAATAGACGAGATAATCACACGTGAAAAAATAACAATAGAATCTTATTGCTAGATGAACAAGTCACAATAAATCAAGAAAATAATACAGAACAAATGAAGAATAACTACGATAGATAGAGTTACTTTTACTAACATATAAACTTTTTGAAGGGATGCAAGAAAACTAGTAATATCGGAAGTTAATCGATATTTTGCTTGAAAGCTAAGTGTAACTGTAAATGAGCTTGAACTCATCCGAAAATAAGTTGACGACAAATATTAGAACTGATAAACTCAAGATCAGTTCAGCACTCGAACTGTTAAGAAAAGAAATTTTAACACATTTTAAAACTCCTTTAATATTACAATTATATACATTTGATAGTTGTTTCTAAAGACCAACTAAGATTCTTTCTGATTTTGTCTATGACCTACATATTCATCAAATATCATATTTCAATTATGACTAAAGGTATCGGTAAATCAATTACAAGTAAACTAATATCGAATGTCATATTCTATTCTCAACATTAGTCATATTTGACATTTAGAAAAGCAAAAAAAAACATGAGAGATTTCAATCTTGCCAATTTAATGAGGTGTTTTACAATATATTGTAATGTACCTGATTCAACAGATGTCGCTCTGATATATCACATTATGTTGTCTATCTCGATAATATTTTCATACTATAATCTTTCATAAGTATTTATCAATGTTTTTGTTTCCTAAGAATTTCATGATCTCGTTAATTAATAAAACTTATTTGCATTTTTATTTGTTTGGTTGTTAAAAATCATCTAATCATCATAAATGAAATTTCATCCGCCTGTTTCTTTCTGCCTGCCCCCTGTGTTTGCTATCTCTATAACATAAATGATTATTTATTCGATTCTTTTGTTTGACGACTTTATTTTTACATTTCAATTTGCGTACTTCTGTTTTTTTAGGATATTTGAAATAATTATGGTCTTTTCTATTTAGACAAACGTAATTTAATATAAGAGTGAACACATTTAACATGTTATCAAGTATACGTCGTTTTTTTAAATTTATTCATTGGCTTTATTTACAATATTTACTTAATACAGCATTGTATATGCTTGAACCATGGGAACGTGCACTTTTTTCAGCATTACTTGTTGCTATTATATCCACAGCTATTTATTCAGCGTGGGTTTTTCTACCACATCATCTTCGTTCAATGATAGCATTTTATTCATGATCAATAGCAAACATATTTCGTAAAACAATTCGTTTTTTCTTCTTCTTCTTCTTTTTTTCTGTCAAATGAATATGGCACGTATTTTAGATAACTCACCTCAGATCGTTTGTCTCGCATTTTGCTATTTCGATGAAATTGAAATAAAATCAGTGAACAAAGAAAAAAAATATTGTGTTTTTTAATTGTTTTTCATAATAGAAACATACATTCAATTTTACCATTATTGAGAAAAGGAATATATAGAACTATTTATTTACCTGAATATAACTAATTGATCCTATTTCATACCAATTTTGTCTTGTAATGATACATAATAAATTATGATGGTTATGATAACTTACTGTAAGCATGTAATAAAGTTTTTCTTTTTTCTTCCTTAAACATGTGCATATCCCTACCTTGATTTTTTTTTCTTTTGTATTATATTTTTCGTTTTGTATACATGAATTGTGAATGTCTTGCCTAATTATAAAATTGTGTATGCGTATTTAATGTTAATTTTATCTGTCCTGTTTATCTTTTTGTTTTTAATTACTTGTCATCGAGGTGTTAGAGATTTGATCAGGTTGTTTTTAATTTATAATCTGCTCTTTCTCTTCTGAGTTTAACAGCGATCAGTTTTCGTGCCACTATCATTTCACACATACTTACGATTTTTTTTCTCGGCCTCGCCGTTTACCCTGAGTCTCTTTCTCATATATATATATATATATTTGTATTCATTATTTTGTCTACAACCTACACCATATATATATATGTATATAGCATCCTAATGTGTATATTACCTGAGCAATAAAGCATATCTTGATAAGACATACTAGTTTGTTGCTTTTGAATGACGACTACTACGTTTAATACATCATATTTGGACTCAATGACATCTAAGAACGATTATCCACCGGTAATATATAGTGTGATACTAATCGATTTAAATGAAAAAACTTGATTAATCTTTTTTTCTTCATTGAAAAACAAGATAATTTGCGTAAAATTAATCTAAAACACGCTTATATTGAGAAAAAAACGTCAATAAATAATTTAAATGAATCTCTTATTTCTTATTTTCTTTTTAATATCTAGTGTAAAATCAAGCAAGAACAAAAATGTCGTTGGTATCAATCATTTTTTCAAACGATTGAACATTTTTATATGCAATTTTTATTAGTAACAACACTTTATGTTATGGAACCATGGGAACGACTTTTAATGATAACGATTTTTCTTCTTATTATATCACTTTTTACTTATTCAGCAATTGTTTACATTCCATTTCATGTTCATAATATTCTACAATCAACAATGCCAAGTATAAAAGACATCATCTTACATTGAACAGTAATATAATTGACTACTAATCTTTTCGTCTAGTATCTTTTTCTTTTTGTATCATTGAGAGAGAAAATAATTTTACGTTGTATTGGAAAAAAGCCAATAAATCTTGCCCTGAAGGTGTAATTATGTAACTTATCGTATACGCCTACTTTTATTTTTCTTTATACAAAGAGATATTAACAAACTGATTTTTTTAGATTATTTTTTTTTATTTATTCCATACAATGGATATTGATTCTGAATCATTATCATCAACAACAATTGGTATGTCACATCACTTAGATGAAGAATTAATGGGACGATTACGTTCAATAACAACTAATAATCGAGAAGATTTAATCACCCAGTTTCGTACGACAACCAATGCAATGTTGACAGATGAAGGTTGTGCATTTTTTCTCGAAATGAATAATTGGTATATTATCGAAAACAACAAAAAAACCCATGATTATAATAAAACTTTCTATTTATAGGAATTTAAATGAAGCTATACTTGCTTATTATGATGCTGAAATGCCAACAGATAAAGTTCCACATATGAAATTTATTGCTGATGTTACTGTTGGAGAAGGTGAAGCTATTCCACCAAATACAAAATTTGTTAAAACTTGGAGAGTACAAAATTCTGGTAGAGTTTTATATGAATGAAAAAGAAAAAAATAAATAGTTATAAAAATATTTAGGTACTGAACGTTGGCCAAATAATTGTTCATTACGTTTTGTTAATGGTGATCGTTTACACGATCGAGATGAAATCTATGTTTCTTCATTAGCACCCGGTGAACAAACAAATATTTCGATTAATGTAACCAGCCCAACTGGAGCTCGTATGATTCGTTCGCAATGGCGATTATTTACACCGGCCGGTGTACCATTTGGAGGTAAGGAGTTATTCATATTTATTAATTAATTCTCTATACAATTGTATTCTAAGATCCTATATGGTTAGCTGCTAGCGTCGAAGAAGGAGGATTAATGGGTATTACTCAACAACTTGAACAATGTCATTCTCTTGGTATGAATGTTCATCATAATATTAATTATCCACCATATATGAATAATCAAGTTGGTGCGCAACCAACACGTAATTCACATTTTCAATCACCTCCATTTCAATCTACTCGATGTAAGAAGTTATAGAAAATAAAAATATGAATTGTTCTTTTTTTTGAATGATTTGTTATTAGATGCACAACCTGGTCTCAATCCAACTTCATCAAATGAAACTGGATGGACGAATTATTCTCTCGTAAGTTAAAGAAATAAATATCAAAAAATATAACATTTTTATTTCTAAAGGATTTTTCTCCAAGAAATAATAGTAATCATCAAACAATGGATCCTTCAACAACATCAAATGGAATGATAGATGACAATTCTTTGGATACATTCTGATCTACTACTGTGCTAATACAAAAAAAAACTGAAATGCGTGCAATATATGAAAAGAAATAGAATATCTTATTTAGTTTTTTATATGAAAACATATTTTCTTTTTTTTCCGTTGAACTATTTATGTAGATAAAAAACCAAAAAAAAAACCAACAACGTTTATTGACAAGTATCTTTTATTTATTCTTCGTGCGCGTGAAGATTTTTAATAATGTGTATTTTCAGTTTTCTTTTGATATTTTATTTTTCCATTTATAAATCTGAAATATTTAAGATGAGTCAAATACGATTTTCAAATAGACTGTCAAATACACAACCAAAGGAATCAACTAGTTCTTCACAACCACCTGTATCAAGCCCGGGAGAAGGAGGAGGAGATGGCGAAAATGAAATTACAGAAACATTAACAAAATCAAACAGATTTATTGGAAAAGATAAACTTGTACAGCAAATGGATGATCAATTAAAGCAATTTGAAGAATGGCATAAAAATCGAGATTGGCTTGCTTTTCATCATCATCATTATGATTGGTGGATGTTTCCTAGTAAGTTTTGAAATAATTATAATACTTTATACGTATAAAAATTCTTGTGTTTATTTTAGTTGATGAAATCAGTAGTCGAGGTACGACTTTTCAATTACCTGATGATGTTTTGAAAGATCTACGACAAGATGAGATTTTTATTGGTAAGCTTCGTAAAGGTGTACGTTTAATGGTTACCAGCTGGGGATGGGTATGTTTATTATTCAAAATGAATCTATATTTATTGTTTTATTTAAGGATATTGATAATAGTAAATATTTTGACGAATGTGATGGTAAACAAAAATGGTCACATTGGCCTGTTCGATTGTATAAAGCTGGTAAATGTATGTGGTTATTTCAACAGAATGACTATTATCAATCATTAAAAAAATTAGCTGAAGATATTAAAAATCGTCAAAAAGAAAAACTTGATTATTTTTCACATACAGTAAATGGTAAAGCTGATGTTCTTATTCAATGGGATAAAATGGAACGACTAAAATCTCCGTAATATTTTTATTTTTGTTTTTGTATACAAGAAATTAATAAACTTGTTTTGTAAAAAAAGAAAGCATTCAGTGATATAAACAAAAATATCGGAAAATAAATGACATTAATATTTACTTCAATTGTACTGTTCTTATTATAATACCTATAATTTATTAAGAATGATATTGTTACACTATTTTGCTTTCAATATAATTGTTTCGTATCAAATCAATATGAGAAAGCTATGCCATATTTGATTATGATATGCAATCTAATTTTATAGTCTATCAATTATGAATGTCAGAATAAATATTTCAAATTCAGGAAGTTAGCGTTATTTGTTAAGAAGAATGTAAGCCATAGATGTTCTCTTTCTAAGTTAATATGACATTACATATATAAATGTGAATTGAATGTCAATAGTCTTAATGTAAAATTTTATTCTATAGAATTTCTAGCTAACATAAGCGTGACAGACTCATTCCAATCAACTATAGAGTTCTTCTTTTTTTGCTCAATGATTAATATAGCGGAAGTAGACAAAAAAAGAAAAATAATATCAAAAATGGAAGGAAACACATGCCAATTCTTGATAAAAGCCACTTGAATAGTCATAATCATAAGAAAGAAAAAAAATGCCCGGTACATTTTATAATATTCTATTGTTCTATTCATCGTACTAAGAACCTTCTTTTATTTATTCATACAGAATTTTATTGATCATTACGAAATATGTTAGATGGAATGAGCATTTTGATATATCCATTTTTAATTATACCTATTCTTTCGATAATACTTGCTTATATTATCGAATATATTCGAAAATCGATTCTTCAACGACGAAAACAACAAAGTCAAATGAATTATTTATCTATAATCGTACTTTCATCAAATATACAAAATTTTCCACCGGTATATGAAACTTTATTTTTGGAAAAGATGTGATAAAATAGAAATTAAAGAAGAAAAGAAAAAAAAACTACTCGAACATATCAACTACTATACTATATGATAAATATGGACGATGGTATCGTTAAAGGTTTCATTTTTTGGCTTGGTCATGAAGTGCGGCCGATGAACCGTGAGAAGCAGCAGTAGCTTCACCTTCATTTTTCGTACCTGGCCGACCTTCATGTGGATGTGGTAATGGGTGAAGTGTTGGTGTTACACCCCAAATTTCACGAGCATATTCTGCAATGGTACGATCACTAGAAAATTTACCGGATGCAGCAATATTTAAAATACATTTCTTTGTCCAAGCAATTGGATCCTAAATCAAAAAGTAAAAAAAACATTTCTAATAAGAAAAATACATTTTTTTTATGAATTTAAATAAACCTTAAAAAGTTCGCTAACACGTTCTTGACATTTAATATAACTTTCATAATCAGCTAAAAGCATATAACTAAAAACAAAACCGAAATTTTATTTATTTTTTTTTGTTATTGTAAATAAACATACTGATCGCCATGTTCATTCATTAAACTATCAAAAATTTCATGAAATAATTCAGGATTTTCTGGTGAAAAGAAACCATCACGAATTTGATCCATTGCTTGTTTAAGTTCAGCATTTTTTTCATAGAACTCTCTTGCGCGATATCTAAATAAAGATTATTCGTTTTTGAAAAAGTAAGCAAAATTGTTTTTATGTTTCTTTCATACCCTTGTTCTCGACGTTTGTCAACGTCTTCAACTGTCATACCAAATATAAAGATATTATCATCTCCAACTTCTTCAGCCATTTCAACATTGGCACCATCCAATGTACAGATAGTCATTGAACCATTTAACATAAATTTCATATTTGATGTTCCACTTGCTTCCATACCAGCAAGAGATATTTGTTCAGATAAATCAGCAGCTGGTATTATTTGTTCAGCCATTGTTACACGGTACTGAAAATGAAGATTTTATTTTAGAAAAAATTTTGAAACAACTATCAGTGTATTAATTTGACCTTGATCCGCATTTTCGTTAAATGACCCATGTATTACAATCTTTTTCTCCCTCAAAATGATTAGACTAATATTAATCTCGATTCGTGGTATTTCTTTTAGATTTAATTAATCTTTGCCTGTATTAGTGTGTATAATTATAATTGCAGGATAAAAGGCCTACACAAGTTTCGTTACATTTAATCATAACCGGACAAAAATATACGTCTGCTTTTCTTAACGAGATTGTCTATTTCTGTTTAAATGTCAGGAATAGACATCACTCTATATTAATAACGTGATAATTTATTAATATAGAAATGAATGATATATTATTTTTCTTCTGGCTAACTATGACAGGAATAAATCGTGATAAAAAAGTTCAAGACTCTGAATCGTGTCGTAGTAGATACCAAATATAATTGATATTAAGTTTTGAAGCACAAAACAAAAAATCACTGGGGTTACATTCTTATTATTCGGATGTAGTTTAAACATATAAAATCCGTTTAAATACTTACATTTTCAAGAAAAACAACTTTAAGACGATCACCAATAATTGGATCATTATTGACAACTTTTCCAACACTATTAATCTATTTAAACAAAAAATATATATACATATATTTTCTAATTTCTATTATTTACTAATTTAATAATTTTTTTAGCCATATGATAACCTGGTGCAGCCTATTTTGAAAAGAAAATAATTCAAAATACAATAATTCATATTTATCAAACCTTTCCACCAATCATAACAGTACGTGGTACATATTTGCCATCAGGTTTTGCTTTAATACGATTATATAATGTAATAATATGTAAAACATTTAATAATTGTCGTTTATATTCATGTATACGTTTAACTTGCATATCATATAATGACATTGGATTGATTTGTTGATGTTGAGTTTTTAAAAGCCATTCAGCTAATCGATGTTTATTTTCTTGTTTAACTTGTTGAATATCACGTACAAATGCTTCGTTGTTAACAAATTCTCGTAAACGTTTAAGATCATCAAGTTTTGTTATCCAATCTTCACCAATTTTCTATTATATGAAAAAATGAATAAATAAAAGTTGAAATGAAATTGTATGAATTTATTTACTTCAGCAATAGCATCACTTAAATTTGGATTACTAAGAACTAACCAACGACGAGGTGTAATACCATTTGTTTTATTTTGAAATTTTTCTGGAGTTAATTCATAAAATGATTTAAAACTAAAAATTTTTTTATAAAAAAATTATATTATTCTTTTTTTTAGAAATTTACAGTGTTGTTTTAAGAAGATCAGAATGAATTTTTGCAACACCATTAACTACATGAGAGCCCTAGAAGATTTTTAAAGAAAAATTTTACTTTTTCATAATAAATCAATCAATTCAATTACTAACAACAATAGCTAAGTAAGCCATATTAATACGTTTCTCATCACCTTCTTCGACAATTGATAGATTACGAATACGATTGTCATCACCAGGATAACGAGCAGCAACTTCCTAAAAAAATTTCAAAAGAATTATTAATACCAAAAAAACATTGACCTTTATTTTATCTTACTTGAAGATGACGTAAATTAATATAATAAATAATTTGTAAATGTCGTGGTAAAACATATTCTAATAAACCAACTGTCCAACGTTCAACAGCTTCAGGCATAAGTGTATGATTGGTATAGGCACATGCACGTCTTGTTACATCCCATGCGACATCCCATTCTAAACCTTCAATATCAACTAATAAACGCATTAATTCAGCTATAGTTAATGCTGGATGAGTATCATTTAATTGAATAGCAACCTTTAAAAAGTAATAAAATGAACAATAGTTCAGTTTTCAATAAAATACTACGATTTTGCATGGATTAATTAAGATTTAACTCCGTTGATATCGATTTCATATTTTATCTATATCCACTAATATTATCTTTTCAAATTCGTTATTCAATGTAAAATACCCATACTTTAGGGGAAGATAAGAACACGTTGAATCTCGGTGTAAAGGTGATAAGACATAACTATGTACTTGACTTCAAGGTCAATGGTTAAAAACAAATGAAATTTGACATAAATCTATATACCAATGATTTTTGAACAATATTTCATCAGTCAAAGTAGCTATAGATTTGTAGTATGAAAATTCTATAGAAATACCAGGTACTATTGGGGGTTTTGATAAAAGGTCATATGCTATAAGATACTGATACTACAAAGGGAAATATATATTTACCTCTTATCTTCTTTGTACGAAGGTCAAATTAACTCTTATCGATTCTTACTATTTATGAGTTGAAATGGCTCAAGTTTTCACCCCAAACGCAGGGCATAGAGTTTAACGTTTATACGACTTTCATTGGCCACATAGTCAAAATATGAAGTTAGTCATATTTGTGTGTCAGATGTTATCAATTCTCAATATCGTTTTTATAGCAAGTAAAATTAGAGATTCTTATAATTTGTATTCTTACTTTATCTGGAAAAGTATTGAAATCATCACGAGTTGCTGATGAAACTCCAAATTTCGAATGTTTATATCGTCGAATAATATCTGATAATGTAGCTGCGACAAGAAAATATTCTTGTTTAAGACGAAGTTCTTTGCCTTGCATATACTAAATATAATAAAATAATATTTCCTAGATATTAAAATTAAAAAAAATCCCTTACATTATCATTTGGATAAAGTACACGTGTTACGTTTTCAGCTAAACTTTGTTCACTGACTGCACTAAGATATTCACCATCATTAACTAAACATAAAAATTTAATTATAAAAAAAAGAAAATCAAAAGAATAACGAACAAAATTGAAAGTTAAATTTTTGTGCTGCTTTTGCACTCCATAATCGAAGCGTATTTACAACCTTAAATATTCAAAATAGCATACAGTTCTTTTCTATATTTTAATGTTATTACTAACATTGTTATTGAAGCCTGGAACTGGAGTATCATAAGGCATAGCCATAATAACCTAAAGAAAAAAATATCATAAAATACAAATTCGTTTTCTTATTATATTTTTGTATTAAAAACCTTTGTATCAACCCATTTCGATTTTCCGTTTTGTTCAATAACACGACCATAAAGATTAACGGGAATTTGATATTCCGGTCGAGGTACTTCCCAAGGGTTTCCATAACGAAGCCTAAATTTATTTTATAAATAATATGAAAGTTTTTCTAGGAAGTATTCCTTTTTTTTACCAATCATCAGGTTCTTCACATTGAAAGCCATCTTTAATTGTTTGTTGAAAGATACCAAATTCATAACTAATCAAAATAAATAGAAAAAAGGAATTTTTTTCCGGTAAATTCTCTACCGTAAGCCATAACCATAACCAGCTAAACCAAGTGTAGCCATTGAATCGAGAAAACAAGCAGCGAGTCGACCAAGACCACCATTACCTAATCCAGCATCTTCTTCGAATTCTTCTAATTCTTCAATTGATAAACCAAGCTAAATCAAAATAATATTAAAATTAAAATTAAATTTCTCTATCTATACTTCATATAAGGATTCATCCAATTCTGATTCAATTCCAAGATTAATCATCATATTTGATAATGATCGTCCCATATAATATTCTAATGATAAATAATAAACACGTTTTGGATCAGTATCATAATAATGTTGTTGTGTACGAATCCATCGACCAACAAGATGATCACGTACTGTATAAGCAGTTGATAAATAATAATCACGGTTTGTAGCAACATTACGATCTTTTACAATTGTAAAATGTAAATGACGATTGAATGTTTTCTTAACTGATGCTACATTTTCAAGTAATGGTAAACCACGAATAGATATTTGTTTACGTCGATCTTTATCAGTTAATGGTACTTTAGTTGATGATTTCGACATAATTTAAATGGAGTTATATGCAAATCTAAAACGAATGAAAAACACACACACCTCTTTGCCTTTTTATTTTGTTAAACAACATAAAAAAAGAGGTATTATTTACTCGAACCCCTTGTATTAAAATAACGAACGAGAAAAAGAAACGAAAAAGAAAAATACACACTTATTTTCTATTTTCTCTATATGTAACATTTAGACGGACTTTTGCCGTTCTTCTATATTCGACACATGACAAGGTTCCCCATATGTAATCATACGCCGAGGGAGTGAAGCATCAAAGAAAACAGTAAGAAACGAATTAATAGATATAAAAAAAACAACAATTATATTTTATTAAATAATGCCAAACTATAAATCATGCATTCAATGTATCGATGAATTTAAGGTTGGAATTTATTGTCGATATACTTTATATGCAAGACGTATATATTCGAAAGAAAATTTATCGATTATTCTAAAGTGCAAATAAAATCATCTGTTCTCTCTCATAAGATCCGCCGGACTGTTTCATAGGAGTCAGATAATATATATGCGATGTAATAAATCTTTATAAGATAAAATACTAGATATTAAACAAACTAGATATACTGTTGACGTCGAAAGTCAACCATTAGATAAAAGATAATAATCTCTAAGGTATTCGAGTAAATAATATTAATCAAATCACGAAGTTTTTAATTAATTAGCGAAATCGAAGGTCTGTTTTTCACTCTGGCAAATGTTTTCATGATATCCCATCGATTAAGAATGCATGTTTTTACTTCATTTGTACTATGAAAGTAACAAACTAGGTTATTCATCTGCTCTTAAGAATATTGTTTTTTGTAATATACCTTGAAAGCTTATAGTTAAAGTAAATAACGTAAAAAATTGCAGGCCAACAAAAATTATGCCCTAGCATACGATTATTTGCTCTCATTTCTACAGATTGTTTAATCATATATAGCTTAATAAAATAAAGATTTAGACATTTTATTAAGTTTGGCATTCATACTTGATATATTTGATTATTATTTTAAAAGTATTATCAAAAGAAAAAGAAATAGATTTCATACATATATGTATCATTCTTATCTTTAATAGTAATTTAATCTTGTGTAAAATATTAGAAAAGTTTTAGTGTTTACAATTAATCTTCATTTTCTATGTTAAAAATCGACGACTAAACTTATAATACATATTTATTACTTTAACATTTTCTTTTTGTTTTTAAACTATCATGTTCATGTATTTTTCTTTTCATTCTTTTATCGATTGTTTTTATCATCATTTATAATATATCGAGGTACATTGCAAAACGTAACCTATGTTTATTATATTCTGTCCTAAGATAAATCAGATTAAAAATAAAGGTTAAAAACAAAATTTCTATCTATGATTAGCTCTTCCAAAAAATTGTTCAAGGAAAAGACCACAAAAAACAAGTGCTGTTCCAAATATTTGCTGGTTAGTTATTGGATTACCAAAGATAATTACAGAACAAAGTATAGTAAAAAATTTTCTTGTTGTTGTAAATATTGAACATGTCAATGGACCAAACCATTCAATAGTAAGAAAGATAAAATTCTAAAATAAACAATTTTATATTAGAACCTATACATAATAAACATATAAATATCATACTTGACCAATAGCACCGGTTAATCCAAGTAAAAACATTTGACCAAGAACATGAGGATAAAGTGTAATGAAATTAAATAAACCATAGATTTCACCTGTTGCTATTACACCAATAGATGCCCATAAACATGACCAAATATTCATTGAATACATCATATGATAAGCCTGAACTCTATGACTATTGCGAATTCTATCTTGTATACCACCTGTTAAACCATCAAATGCAAGTGAAACCATCTATATTAGAAAGATTAATAAGAATTGATTGAAAACAACTGAACTGTTTTGACGGGGTAGATACTCATTAATAGGGGCGCTGCGTTCCTCAGGAACGAAACGCGAACGCAACTCATATTACGTTTTCTAGCATTCTTTGAACATCATGAAAGTATATTGTTCTCCGTTGAATTAATATATAATCAGTAGTAATTTTTCTTATTCATACATGCGTTAAACTGAAATTAGTAATTTTATCTTTCTTCTAAGTACTTACCAAAAGAAATTCTCCGATACCAATTATTCCACCTGATTCTACCATTTTTGTTGTTTCTTTTGGTTTCTTATACATAAATAAGACTACACCTAAAACGAAATTTGATTTCATTTAAATATTTAATTATATTTATCATGATTTCTAACCAGCAACAATTAATAAAACATAGAAATATTTTATTAATGGATATCTTCTTCTTGCTATTAGTACACCTAAAAGCATGACTGGTACAGGTTTAACTGATTTTCCAAGAACCTTAATAATGAAAACAAATTTAAAATCTTATTAATTAATAATAAAATTATTTACCTGCATTGGATAACTAACAAATTCTAATGCATAATTACTTGCAAGCATTGCAAATAAATATGTAAATGATGCAAATGCATACATTTTTGATGGTGTTGTATCTCTAGGTGTATTTCGTACAACTAGTATGACTTTTGATACAATTGCATTAAAAATACATTGAAAAAATACAAGTGATAATATATAAGTAAATTTATCATTCTCTCCATATTTCTTTTTTACTCTATTAATAAGAAGAATTTTGGATTATATTAAAAAAATCAAAATCTTTACATTGATTCTTGAACAATACCAAATAAAAGATAGGCAACAAATATTCCAAGAAAACAAGCAAATAATTTAACTGATGACGATGACATTATTAATGACGTTGATGTTTTCCTGAAGTTTTTATTTGGTCAATAATTTCTACAAGGAAAAATAATAAATATCGTATATCTTACGTGGAAATTTGTCAGATTGTCGACTGGAAAGGAGGAAGAAGCAATCGAATAGAAGAAGTACTATGACATCTATAGAGAGAAAAGAAAGGTTTACGATAACGATAAATGGCTGGCTAAAAATATATATGAATGAATGATTAAATATTTTACTTTTTACTTACTATGGCTATGTCGACAACGATGGATCAAGTTGTAAAACGAGCTAAAGATAGTTTCGGACAAATGTTTGATAAAAGTCTACATGATCTTGTTCGAGGCATTCGAAATCATAAAGATAATGAAGTAAAATATTCATAAATTTAATTAAAAAAGTTACAAATATTTGTATTTTAGGCAAAATATATTAATGAAGCTATTGATGAAATTAAACAAGAACTTAAACAAGATAATATATCAATGAAAGCGAATGCTGTTAATAAATTAACTTATGTAAAATAGATATTTTATTTTAATTTAATATGTCATTTATTTTATATAGCTTCAAATGCTCGGTTATGATATATCATGGAGTGCATTTAATATAATTGAAGTAATGAGTTCCAATAAATTTACTTTTAAAGTAAGTCAAAATTTAGATTCTTATCGTTATGAGAGAGTTTAAATAATGATTAAACAAGTAACAACGATAGGTTCTACATATTCAGATATTTATTGTGAATTTTTCTTTCTCGAAGTTTTTATAATTAAATGAATTATGAGAGGATTTTCAGTAGGATTTATACTATGAACAAGTTATTATTTAATAGACAATACTTGATTACAACTGAACAACATTTTCTTTTTTACAAAGTTTTGTTTTCTGATTATTATATTTATATTATTCTAGCGAATTGGATATCTTGCTGCTTCACAATGCTTTCATGAAGGAACAGATGTTTTAATGTTAACAACAAATATGATTCGAAAGGTTAATTTCTTTAATGAATGTTTTATATTTATTTCAAAGACTATTTCAGGATTTAAGTAGCTCATCTATGTATGAATCAGCTGTTGCAATGAGTGGTCTTTCATGTTTTATAAACGCTGATCTTGCACGAGATTTAGCAAATGATATTATGACTCTTGTAAGAAATAATTTCCATTTGTTTGTTTTTCGTTATTTTAAATCATATATATTATTAGATGACATCAACAAAACCATATATTCGTAAACGAGCTGTACTTCTATTATATAAAGTATTTCTTAATAATCCTGATGCACTTAAACCAGCATTTCCACGTTTAAAAGAAAAACTTGAAGATCCTGATCCAGGTAAATTGATATTAGTATAATCATAAGAAAGTTTTATTGTTTTATATACAATATCAGGTGTACAAGCTGCTGCTGTGAATGTTATCTGTGAATTAGCTAGACGTAATCCAAAAAATTATCTTGCATTAGCTCCAATATTTTTTCGTCTTATGACAACTTCTACAAATAATTGGGTGTTAATTAAAATCATTAAATTAGTAAATAATTAAATTGATTTGTTCTTTTCTTCAAAATAAATTCTTTATTTTAGTTTGGTGCATTAACACCATTAGAACCACGATTAGGCAAAAAATTAATTGAACCATTAACAAATTTAATTCATAGCACTTCAGCTATGTCTCTTTTATATGAATGTATTAATACTGTAGTTGCTGGTAATAAAAATTGTTTGATTAATAAACTTAAATTTCTTCTTATTATTTAAGTTCTCGTTTCAATCTCATCTGGTCTACCTAATCATAATGCTTCAATTCAATTATGTGTACAAAAACTTCGAATACTTATTGAAGATTCCGATCAAAATTGTATGAAATAAAACTTTAGTATTTTGTTTTTTTATCGTAATTTAATCTAGTAAAATATCTTGGTTTACTTGCAATGTCAAAGATTTTACAAACACATCCAAAAAGTGTTCAAGCACATAATGATTTAATTATGCAATGTCTTGATGATAAAGATGAATCAATTCGTTTACGTGCACTTGATCTTCTTTCTGGCATGGTAAAAATAGTTTTATGTAAATTCATCTTGCTTTCATTTTGCGTATAGGTATCAAAAAAAAATCTCATGGATATTGTACGTAAATTAATGATTCATATGGACAAATCTGAAGGATCACATTATCGAGATGAATTACTTTCAAAAATAATTGAAATATGTAGTCAAAGTGATTATCAACATATCACTAATTTTGAATGGTAGATAAATATTGACTTTTTTGGTTTTTTTTGCTATACATTTATTTTCGTTTAACAGGTATATTAGTATATTAGTTGAATTAACTCGTCTTGAAGGTACAAAACATGGAAATCTCATAGCTCGACAAATGCTTGATGTTGCTGTTCGTGTTGAATCTATTCGACCATTTGCTTGTAATCAAATGGTAAATACTATATACTATTCTCTCTATATGAGCATACCTAAATGTGTAAAGCTGTGACATAAAACAAAGCACTTCTCTTCAACGCTACTAATAAGACTTAATTTGAAAACTGTTGAAGAGTATATAGATTTTCGCTAATGTTGCGACGCATGAAGAAACTGATACAATGAATATCATCAGGATCGTTCAAGAAGTATTAGCATGCTCGATATAATCAATTTAATAACTACATATATTACAACCTGTTTACTATAATTATATCCGACTATAAGGCTGACTCTTTTATTCTTTCTGATAATAGTTTCGTCAGTTTTTATTCAAAGAAAAACTATATATCGTCGTTTACTTTACTATTCTCAAGGCAATTCGAAGTTTTATGAGAATTTAGCTAATAATCGCAAGTACAAATAAACAACTGTACTGCTACTAAGAAATGCATATTATACTTAATACATATGTTCATACTAAAACGATAGAGAACCGTTGAAAAAATGATATTTTCTAACTGTAAATTTATATATTATAGGCAATTCTTCTTGCAAATGCTCATGTATTTATAATTGGTTCAAGTTCTACGACTGTTGCTGAAGTTTTATATGCAGCAGCATGGATTTGTGGAGAATTTTGTTCGTAAGTTATTAAAGAAAAAAAATCTTTATCTATTCAATGAATATTTTTTTTTCTTCGTCTAGTTATTTAAAAGAACCACAAAAAACTCTTGAATCAATACTTAATACAAAAATTATTTTATTTCCTGGACATATTCAATCTGTTTATTATCAAAATATTCTTAAAATTATAACATATTTAATTCAATCATCAGATAATGATGAAATTTTAGCGAAACAATTAGTTACAATGACAATCGATAAAATGTCAATATTTTTATCGAGTGGTGATGTTGAAGCACAAGAACGAGTATGTTTATTAATTTAATTTTTTATCTCTTTATTCAATACATAGAGAAAATTTGTTTATTTAGGCAAGTATTACTTTACATATTCTTAAAACAGTATTAAAATTAATTGAAAAATCGGAATTTAATGTTAATGAACTATCAGCATTGTTTGATGGTGTTCTTAATCCAGTTGCTGCTAAAGCTCAAAGAAAAGTTGCTATACCAAATGGGTAAATCATTTGTTTTTTTGTTTATATATAAAAAGATTTTGTATATTATAGTTTGGATTTGGATGCATGGATAAATGATCCTCCATCTGAAAGTGAAGATGAATCAGTAACAACAGATTCTCGTCATGATAATTCAGGATTTTTTTATGGTAAACATGAAGAAAATTATTCATCAAATTCATATTCAAATGAAACATCAAATTATCAACAACCGAGAAATTATGTTGAACCAACAACTGATGAATTAGAAAAACAAAGAGAATCAAGAAAACAAAGTGAAAACATGAATCCATTCTATTTAAAGGATAGCAAAAAAACAAAACTAACACAAAAGGTATATTGACGTTTATAGTGGTAGAAATCTAAACTCACTAACTGTGATAAACATGACCATAGAATCCTTTCATTTCAATACACTTGTATCCGCTGCTCTTACAAGAATCATCTATATTATTCTTGATAGATCACGCAAACTATTATTGTATTGATTATGATAATTAGTTCTTATAATTTATCTTTAAATTCTAGCATGAAACATCGATCGATCATTCAAATGGTAACGAAAGTATGCCATCAACTCCAGACAAAGGAACAATACCAGCTAATTTACAAATTTCACTTTCTGATCAATTATATCGACAATCAAAAATTGATGAAGAAAATCGACGTTTGAAGAAAAAATCGAAAAGTGATGGTGGATCATCAAAAAAAGGAAAGAAATCTTCGAAAAAATCCGATATAGCAGCAATCGATGAAAATGAAGATGACATCTATCCAACTGTTCAAGTTACACGTGGTGGTGAATTACCTGAAGGTGTTACAGAAAGTGGACATGAAGATAATGATGATGATATAGGTAGTGGAAGAAATAAAAAATATGATCCACATCGAGCACTTAATATTGATTTTAATGAAAAACCTATTCAAGCAACATACACTCCACCACCATCTCAGCTCAAAGAACCATCTAAAAAATTAGTTGAAACTCCTCCTGTATCAGTTGAAAAAGTAAAGAAATCTAAGAAAAAGAAAACAATTGAAAACCAAATCGAACCATCAACATCTAAATCTAAACATAAACGAGAACGTAGTGATTATAAAGATTTGGGATCACCAGCTGATGATGATGACAAACATGTATTACAATCTGCGGTTGCTGCTCCTAGTCCTACTCCTGCGCCTGTTTCTGCTGCATCTCCTGTTATCGAAGAGAAACCAAAGAAAAAGAAAATTAAAGAAAAAAAATCAATATCAAAAACAGCAATACCAGATGCAAATGATTCTGCTTCACTTCTACTCGATATTATGAGCGATGATATTCATCCAATAAATCAATCTAACCAACAATACAATGAACAAGATTCGTATAAACTAGCTGCTCAAACAGACAATTTAATAATAGTAAGTTCACTGACTAACTGAAATATTTTATCTAGTGGGTGGGTGGCGTCCATTGGAAAAAAGAAAATTGAATAAAACATGAATACTCAAATTAATATTTGATTTATTTTTAGGAATATTTAATAACTCCTAATTCATCAACAGCTGAACTTGATGTAACATTTCTCCTCAAAAATCAAACATCATCTATAATTGATCATATTGATATTCATGTTATCGATAGTATGAGCTCAAAATTACTTAATACAACAAGTGCAAATCGTATTTCATTTACAACAATAAGTCTTTTTCCACGTTCACAAAATTATATACATATATATTTCGCAATAAATGCAATATCATTTTCTCAAAATTTAAAAACAACATTATCTTATACTATAAATGTAAGTTTAAAATGAAACAATGTTCAAATAAACATTTTTTTGTTCTTATAATCTATTTAGGGATCAAATAAAAATGAAAAAGATTCAATTGAATTTAAACTTAATCTACCATGTTCACAATATTTAAGAAAAAAACCGATGAATTCGTAAGAATATTTCTTTTGATTTAACTAACTAATTGATTTAAAATATTTTTATAATTAAGAAATGCATTTGCTGATTTAATGAGTTCTGGTACATTGACATGTCAATCACATATAGATATTCCATTATCAAATCAAGATTTTGTATCGAGAATTAAAACAATTTGTCAATCTTATCGATTAACGAGTTTGTAGAAAAAAAACAAAATTGGCTTTTTCTATTTTGTTTATTATTTAAGTTGTTGAACAAATCAATGCCGCTGCATCATTATATGCTGAAACAATACTTGGACAACCTATAGCATTTTTATTGAAATCAACAGTATGTATATATATTTCTTTTAAATCTGTTTTATAATATTCGGTTTATTTAGAATTCTCAAACTAATATCTCAGTCGATGGTAAATCAACCGAAACACATTTTCTTTCCAATTTAATGGAAGAAATAAAAACATCATTGAAATAATTTGTTTATTTTATCTTGTTGTTCATTCCATTTATTTCATTCTTTTTATTTTTTATTCCATGGACAGTATTTATATATAAAAACACAAAAAGAAAAAAAAATGACAACTAACAAACAGTGATTCATCTTTTTTGTTTTGTTTTCTTGCCATCTAATATCTTTATTTAAAATAGGGAAAGCAATATTTTTTTATGTATTCAATAAATCGAATACACGATAGAATACGTTCGTTTTTTTGTTCTGTTCTGAATGAATATAGTTAATTTTCGTATTGACGACAATTATAACGTTATATGATGATAAAAAATGGAAAATTAAAGGACAAATTATCGGTTAGATTTAACAAGAAAGAGAACGTTTTTCTTTATGACATTCAGTGAGTTTACATGTGAAGTCATAAAATTTCGAATTGGTAAATTTGGATTTGATCCAAAAAAGACAAATGTCGAAAGTCGATGAACAAAGAAGTTTTTGTCAGTGTTCGGATGAAGATTTAGTATTTAACAGTAATAAAATAATCATGAAAGGTCTTTTTAGTAAAGATCAGTGATGGCACTTTACTTTAGGGTGTGGGTGTAGATGATACTCCTCTCTTCACCCACATTCACACCTACCATCAATGTCTAGGATTTGACATCAATTAACAATATCAGATTAAGTGGTATCGTATGAGACGAATTCTAGTAGTTGTTCGTAACAACACCAAATGCGTTCGAAACGAGGTTTAAAGTGTTACAAAGACAAGCAAACAATAACTTTAGATTTATGAGCAAATGCATATAAATGGATCAAATCGAAGAAGACAAGATTCTTGGTTGAATTCGAGAATTCTATTGAATACTATATACTTGATCGGCATCAAACAACAATTACCAACGTTAATATTGATGCAATGAAGAAATTGAAATGGTACTCCTTTGATCAGGGTCTGGGTGCGGGTGTCTGTTTCTCATTCACACCCACACCCACATCCACATCCACACCCACATCCACACACACACCCTCACACACACACACCCACACCCTCAAGATGGTTGAGTATTTGAATATTCGAATAATTGAATAATTGAAAATTTGAAAATCCCAAGTATCCAACCATAATATTTGAACATGTAAACTCAAATTTGAATATTTGAGTGTTTGAATTCAAATTTCGTATTTGACACTAATGAAAATTTTCATTTTTATGTAATTTGTTTGTAGCAAACACAATATCAAACAACTCGAATGAAATTCGCCAACTTACACGAACACATGGTGAACTAACCCTTCTTAATGATTATTAAAATCAGTCGAAACCTTAAGATTGCACGCTTCTATTTCAACATCAATAGTTGTCATTGTAAATCTAATGTTTCGTTTCATTTGTATTTTTGTGATAGTAAATGCATTATATTATTATTGTTATTATTCGACAAAACACATAATTTGTCAATTTCTAATAACAGATGGTGAACTTACTCCAGTTCATAATTATTGAAATTACTCGAAACGTCTAGACTCCACCATTCACTTCAAGATCAATAATAGTCACTGTGAAATTAGAACATCGTTTTATTTGTTTTTTTTCTCATATGAAACCAATTATTTTATTATTACTATTAAACATGACACATACATAATAGTTCATTTTCCAACAATAGATGGTGAAGACACTCCAGTTACTGACTATTAAAATTAGTCGTAACGTCGATATTGTACTCAGTTGCATCAACTTCAATAATTTTACTTCAAAATTAAAAAACGAATGCGATTGTGAAATAGACCCAAGCGATGTTTTATCTATGGAAAATAGAAAAGTTGATATATATATATATATATATAAATACCTTCGCAGTATATATACCTGCTGCTGATGGTGAGATATTATAATGCGGGATTAGTTTCATTCACGAAACTCGAAACAATAAAACAAAATAAGTGTATTGGGAAAATAAAGGTAATTGACGTTTTACTTATTGTATGCAAAAGAATAAATATATATTTACCTTCATATTATAATTACCTATTATTGATAACGAGACATCATAATTTGTGATTTTTCTCATGAAAAAAACTAGGTAGCGTTCATCCGATGGATTCGCTGACCCTTTTTTGAAAGAAAACTTTCTTTGATTATTATTAACAAGTATCGCTCGTCTAGAGACTAGCTTATCTCTTTCTTGCAGAAAACTTGTTCTACAATACTATTGAACTTTTTACTTGTACAGTTTGCAAAAATTAACATCAGATTTGAGTTCTTCGATCTCAATTACTCTTCGGCTAACAAATAAAGGTGATCTTTTGTTTAAAAAAAATGTTTCTCAAAAATATTTTGAAAAATAATGTCAGATTCGAGTTCCTCGACTTGGAAAACTTGTCGGTCAAACTTTATAAAAAAAATGGTCCTGTGTCTAAAAAAATTGGTACTGAAAAAAAGTTCAAAAAACTAATCTCGGATTTGGATTCCCCGAACCCGATTACCTTTGTTCAATCATTTTCTGATGACCATTGATATGTTTCCATTGATTTATAAAATGCTGCAATCTGATTGGCTTAGACAAACGGACAAACTTTAAGCATTTTAACCACCCTGTTTAACGAGCCTATAACCCTTTCTTTCAGAAAAGGGAATTAGAACAACAAGAAAAATAATGATTGCGTTGGCGAGATACGGTTAATGGCAGATTTTTCTGTCGTATCAATGGAGATAGAAATTGTAAGCTTCTTACGGCTTTTCTGTGGCACTAAGTATGAAGAAAGTTTTATACTATCCACTTATCTCTTATATGTAATGTATTGAAGATTTCTTCCAATCCATCTCTTATAAATAGATAAAGGACATACTTATCGTATACTTGATTGTCTCAAACAGTTTTTCATTCTATTTCTTATCTCAATATAATTACATTGTTCTTATTTTATATTGTAGAACCTACATTCCTTTTTATCAGTCAATGATTATTCGTTAGCCTCATTTTCTTGTTCGTCGATATAACACGATGTTTTACATGGTACAAATATAATGTGTCTTGGAGTAATAAAGAGGGAGACCATTGATAAGTAACGTGTTCGCCGAGTTTGAATTATTAAATAAAATATCGTGCAATGAATCAAACATTTATTGATTAACATAAGTTTGATACCACTTAGAAGCATACGACTCTATTTTAAGTTACAATTTCGTTCTTGCTTAAGGAACTCATCAGTTATAGTTGCAATTTATAGATACATGGAGTTATGAATAAACCTAACTATTTGTAACAGTTCTAATCTATTAAAAAATCAACAATAATGCAAAGAAACAGCAACAAAAATGTTTAATTAATATTCTTTTAGTAATATATGGGTGTGGGTAAGTATCGTTATAGATGAATCATGATGAGCTACATCCACACCCACACCCACCTCTCAAAATGCTGAATTTCTGAAATATTCTATTCAAGTACTGAGATGCATAAATGTCACTTGTGAGTTCTTTTATTTTGATGATTAAGAATTCTACGAGTATTTCTATAGTATGATATCTGATAAACATTAGAATTAGTAAATGAAAAAATCGAGTTCAAACTAAGCCCATCACTAATGTCCGAAGAGTGTTAATGTTAATATCATTTTTGATTCTATTTGTCCAAAAGAAGCAATCGACTATCGATAATCATTAAATGATCTTTGAGTTGTTTTATCATTTCATGTGCAATGATTTCTTCCTGGTTGTTGCGGACGGCCACTAACTGATAAGGTCCACGTGGTTGAACACGACGCATTTGCAAAATCATATCACGAGCAGAAGTAGATGTTGTTGATGTTACTGATGGTATTTTGATAGCATAAATGACAGCTGATTTTGTTTGACTTTGTTGGTCAAATATTTTGTCAATGAATAATTTATTTAGGTTATTAGTATTAGTTGGTGATTGCTCTGTAATACAGAAGAAAACATCACCATAACACTGCAGTGAATGTTGAAGACAGGTGATATTCTCTATACCAGTGTAATTAGAGTTGTGAGATAGTTTTATTTCATGTTCTTTAATTAGATCAGCATCCATGTGTTCTCCTTTAGTAATCGTTGATACAGCTTGATGTCGTTCGTTAAGCTTATTTTGAATTACTGTTGCAATAATTTCAATAGAATATCCTTGAAGTAGATCAACTAATGGTACATAAACACTGGTCTCTTGTCCTAACCAATTATATAGTGAAAGAGCTGCTAATGAGTCCATACCTTGGCTAGTCAGTGAACGATCAACGAGGATACGATCAATATCGGCTGCTCCTAGAATCCGTGCTACAGCCATCTGAATTCGTTCAATGATAGTTTCTTTTCGATTCAAGTTCAAAGTAGTAGTGCTATTGAGTCCTTTTGATGCCGTTGACACATTTGTGAGGTTGATAACAGTGTAACGTTCTTCTACAATTATATTCAATTGAAATATCGGTATTTTGTGACGTCTTTCATATAATTTTTGCCAATTAACAGCAAAAATAACAGGACATGGGCAAGTCTTCTGATTTGTATGGAAGCGTTCGATCAACTCGAATACAGCTATTGGTGGCAATACTTCAAAACCATGTGTGCTTTGTAAAGTGCTAAGCATATCTCGTTGTCGATGAAACATGCCTGCACCACTTACAGCAGGCAAGCTAACGGAGAGAGCAGGTAAACTTAGTTGAGTCATACGATAGTAAGCAAGAGCATCAAGAAATTGATTACCAGCATTGTAACCAGACGATGCCACTTCAAGTAGATGATTTCGAATTGATGAGAACATGACGAAAAAGTGTAGAGGAGCATGAGTGAGTTGCGTTACTTGATGAAGAATCCAAGCACCACGAACTTTTGCTGCTAAAACATGTGCCAAATATTCTTGTGTCATTTTAGCCAAAGTCCGGTCTTCTGCAACGACAGCACTGTGAATAACTCCTCGAATAGGATAAGACGTTCGACTTAATTTTTCGATCAGATCATATACTTGATCAAAATTTGTCACATCTGCTTGAACAACATCAACATGAGC